GTAAATAGTGCAAACAAGTTGAAATGTGCAAAGGATAATGATCCTATTTAAAAAGCTGTGCATTAATCTATTATCTGTATTTTATTCTACACAGAGCTGCTATTGCACCCATAAGCCTCAACTCAAATATCTCTTTGCTTTTCTTTAAGAATCAAAGGAAAAACTCTTCTTTTTGAAAATGGTGATCTTGTGTGAGATTCTGCTATAAATGTTTAAAGTTGTGTGAAATGCATCCGTCTACTTTCAACGACAGAGTAGTTCCCAGAAACAGAAATTAACATTTTCTGTAACCTGGTTGTCACAACTCTGTTTTCTGCAATCGTCCTGAAAGCCAGTTGGCCATATGGTGGCCCAGCTTGAGCAGGACACAGGTGGCTCTGATTACAGTGAATCCATCATTGGATACGTTCTCCCATGAAATACATACTCTATGATGCTCTTCGTCAAAACTTACTACTGAATCAAAGTAATGCCGATTAAACTGTATTACAGGGATCTGTTTGGTCATTGGTCAATGATTGCACGAGCTGTTATTTTAAATATGAAGAGCTGTATGTGTCCTACAGTGTTATCAAATTCATTCAGAGTGGACAAGTATACAGTCATGCAGAACAAGGGCGAATGAATGAAGAAAGACAATGGCATGTTTTTGAAGTGAAACCATGATGTCACCCTCTGTTGTGACCCCATTTTGAAAGAAGCAGTATTGGAGGTGGGAAAGGAAGTAGTGTAGTAGAGTCGGGGGTCTGCCAGTTAGACATCCTCAAAGATGACAAAACATTAAGTGAAAATGAGATTTTACATTCTAAAATAAAGCTTTCTCATGAGACAGTGGTGATACAATGAGGACTGAGTTCACTAGTTCACTCATTTCATTTTCTGACTGAGAACACCATAAGGTTTCCCAACAATACAAAAGATATGCACCTTGTGTTTTTTGTTATAATATCTGATTTGCATCAAGGGTGTTTGAATCTATGCACAAGGAGAAAGATGTGTTAGTCTTGGGCTTCAGCTCATCAAAGTATATTGAGGGAAATAATGTAAATCAAAAGTTTCAGCTCAGGTAATGTGTTCAAGAACATAAATAATTCTTCTATAACGGTGTAAATGGGCATAAATGTGAAAAGCAGTGACAGCGTTCATCTTTCATATGTAACCTTATCAGTCACCACCAGGTGGCAATATATAACTGTAGCTTATGAAGTTTTTCGCTGGGTCTATACCAAACACAGATGTACCTTTCTGCCCAGGTGGGGCACTAATCAGAGAAATATAGAAATTACAGCTTCCATTTGGGACACACGAGGACTGAATAAATAACTGCGAACACTGGCAATTAATACAAAAACTGAAAGTGCAAACCAGTGAAATAAGGCTTGAATACCTAAACTTGAAACCTGACAATCAAACACATTATTTGTGTGTTTTAATTGATAACCACTTCAATAGTAAACCAAGAAAACTGGAGCTGATGGTACTCGATGATTCAGAAGTTTATTTTGATGATAGTGCTCTCTACGTCTACGTCTTCCCCCTCGTTTGTCTCCACTGAATGTAGAGAGTGTGTGAACCCCAGTAGAAGAGCCTGTATAAGCCAGGAATGTGGCTGACAAAGGAGTGAGTGACGAGAAGAAGAGAAGGATGGTTATGGGAGGATGGGATGCGGAGCGCAGAGGATAGAAAGTCGGTGAGTGGCAGGTGCTATTGTGGCCTAAGTGCAGGAGCCTACAGCAACAAGGTCAGAGGTCAAAGTGAAGTTGAAAGGCCAAACCCAAACTCCCTGGAAGCCCACCCAGAGAGAGAGAGAGCGATATGGAGGGTGGAAGAGAGCGAGCGGTGGGCTCTGGAAAAGTAAACTGAGGGAACAAAAAGGTACATAAAAGAAAAATATAAAAGACCTCTAAAGGAAATAATGTGCCAAGATTTGTTATAAAATGAAGATACAGAGCATGTGCAAAGGAAGTGGAAGGCGGCAAGGCAACATGGAGACATTAGAGGTGTTGAGCAGCAATGATGGATGCAAGAAGAAGAAGAAGAAGAGGAGCTCACACGTCTGATAACACGCCTGGCTTGATGGGACGAGAAAATCATGTGGGAGGTTCCTCTCTAGAAGTGTTGGTCTTGATCCTGAATAAACAAATTAGCCTGGTCCTCGGTGAACAAAGCCAGTTGGCCACAGTTTCCTGTTGAGGCCTTCCATTGTAACGTATCACGGAGGTTGTATGGAGTTTTTCCCAAGTTGTGTTTGGCCTAAAACACACGATTCACCCTGTTATTTCATTGAAGAGGCACAGGAATGCACACAGGAATGCCCCTCCGAGTGTTTGTTGACACTCGTGACCGCTCGGCTCTCAGATGTTGACAAAGACGTTTTGTTGGGGTTCACTCGGTTCACTCCCTGGAGAAACTCTGGGAGCCGTGAAGCTGTCACACAGGATATCGCGACAGTTGAGACCTGAATGGAAATCGGGGGCCCTGGTGTTGAAGGCGGCCTCGTGACCTGGGTACTTGATTTGATACTCAAATCAATTTCTGCTGTGTTTCGTCTCTTCTTTTTTTTTTGTCTTTAAATTACAAACCCTTCCATCCAGCTGAATAGAGAACGATCACTGGATGTTTTTTTTTTTTTCCCTTTACTCCCTTTCATCTCCATCTGGGGGACCATGAGATGCTCTTGTCCCCCTCGCTTGTTGTGAGAAGTGACAGCGGGGTCCATTCAGCAAGAAATTGGCTGCAATTAGTGCAATTATGCTGATTTTCACTTGTGTCCCATGCAGAACAGAGTTTTCGCTGTGCACAGAGACATCCCCGGGATATTGCTGCAAAACAAAAACCCATCAATCAACAAAGGCCTTGAATGAAAGGCTCAACTGCAGATAATACCGGGCACATTCCATAATGACAGCGTAGTCAGCTGTGACCTGTGTTGCGATGGGGGGTACGACATCTAGAGCTTCACTGATTAAGGGGAAATATGCAGTGAAGCCAGTGTGAAGGGCAGAAGACCTACTTAGCAGAAATTGGACCAAAACCCAGACAGACTAAAGTTAATTCTGACAGTATGACAGTGATAAACACACCTGAGTTGAGCTCATGTCCAAAGATTTAGCGGAGAGTGAACCCACTCAGTCTGATTTACCCACTTTATCCAGAAGACACCTTAGAAACACAGTAAACCATAAATCATGATGAAAAGAATCTAACTCATGAAACTGAAACGAGGTTGGGTGCTTTCACTTAGATATATAATCCATACATATACATTTATATCTGTGGCCGTTTTCCATTGGATGATGACTGAGGTGGAGGTCATAGTTTACTCAACTTTACATTGGTATGTCTGTGTCAATATTGCCCAGGAGACTGACAAAGCTTGCATTCAACAGCAGATTTCAAGATGTAGGAAGGCGGCGCAGTATCCCAAATCTAAGGAATCCACTTGTTAACGGGTAGAAAACACCATGGCCTGTCCTGGTGGAGCTTTTAAAATGCAACGCACCTGCAAAACACGTAAGTATCTCAGTCACTTGATGAAAACTTGCAAAATTACTGAAATTACAGAAAACAGTGGTTAAAGTCCTGCATGAAAAATCCTACTTAAGTAAAAATACAAACACAAAAGTCAAAATGTAATTAAATATCAAAATAAAACACCTGCTTTGGTCCCTCTGAATGATATCATATATGACTTGATGATTTTAATTCATAGTGAAGCATCAGTGTGTGAGCAGCATGTTGTAGCTGCTGCAGGTGGAGACACTTTAAACTACTTCATATACAGGTTCATACACAGAAACAGCAGACACATTTGGGATGTTGTTGGATGATTAATGAGGGAGGAAAGAAGAAAAAAAAGTTCTGATACACAAAACAATTCTCAGTTTATGGACATTTTCTTGAATCTTTGATTTGTTGGTGAGATATTGGATCATTTCAGTATTTCTTTGTGTAGAGGGAAAATATGAGTCTGACTTTTTGTAAGATGCCAGAAGCTAAAAAGGTGAGAAAGCGCTGGTTTGAATCATTAGCAATGAGTTGTATTTTAAAAGCGTGCAATATTATCCATTGCGTACAACCTTCATCTTAAAAGAAACGTAAGTAAATAAATGTGGTGGCGTAGAAAGTGCAACATTTACCTCTGAAATGTGATATTTAGATCTGAAATGTAGTGAAGTGCAGGTATAGAGCAGCATAAAATGGAAATTCTTTAAAGTATTTAAGCAAATGTGCTTAGATTCTTTCCACCACTGCTTCAAAGTGTGGCATGTTTGATAACTTGTGTGTTTCTTCATGTTTTTCTGCTCTAATATGTTGCTTTGTCAGTGTTATTTGTGTTTATCTTTTAAAGAAAAATATTTTTTGTTTGTCTTTTTCTAAAGAAAAAACATCAAGCAAGCAAACTCTCACTTTTGAGTCACTTCTATCAAAAGAAGAAGAAAAACAGAAACAAAAGCAGACGTTAACATGCAGACTGCAGATACACATTGTTGGGGGTCACTGTGCGTTTTCCAAGTTTAGTTTTGCCAAAATAAAAAAAAGTAATTCAAATGTAAAGTTCAACTTCCGGCCAGCTTTGATTTCCGTTTTTTCCCCTCCTGGAGGAAGCCCTTGTGTCTGGCCCCCCATGTGGCTCTCTGGCCCCCAGTTTGACCCCCTCCCTGGGCCGTGTCTGCCGGACAGGCTGTCAGCAGAGGATCCAAGCAGAGTGTCTTTAAGACCCAGCGGAGCTCGGCAGGGAAACCCCGCGGCTTTAGTTGTTTCTACTCTCCAGAGTGTCAGCTAGTTATTTGTGGGGAGGCGCTGTAGCCATTTCGCCACATGAAAGCCCGATGAGCTGAACGACCAACATCCGAGTTGTTCGCGGAGAAGAGAAATCAGCTTTGAGGAGCTCCGCGCGTACGCATACGTCCACCAACTCGCGCGCAAAGACGCACGGCGCACAGACACGCACACTTCCTCCTCGTCCGCCGTGGAAAAAAAAAGGAGAGAGAGAGAGAGAGAGAGGAACAGAGAGAGAGAGAGAGAGAGAGAGAGAGAGGCACACACGAAACGCAAACTTCCAACTCTCCCATGTGGAAAGCAGAGGTTTGAAGATAAGGTGTATTTTTTTTTCCTCTCCGGGGCTCCATTCCTCCCCCCTTCTCTCCCTCTCTTTCTCTCTCTCAGTGCTTTTGCCCGGATATTTGTGTTTCTATGAGAGTCTTGCTCGGCGAGAAGAGAAGTTTGGTTGTTTGCCTGGTCGGCTGAGGAGGAGGAGGAGAAGAGTCGGGTTAAAAGTAGGGGGAAGATGGTCCACAACGCCGCTTGGAGAAGAAGCTTGCTATGCGTCCTGGCGCTCAGTCTCGGCTTTGCGTCCCCGCCGTGCAAAGCTCGGATTTACACCAACCACTGGGCAGTCAGGATAGCCGGGGGACCCGAGGTGGCCGAGCGGATAGCGGAAAAATATGGCTATAGGAACATGGGACAGGTAGGTCGCCTATTGCTCAAAGTTGCCTCTTGTTTATGTGTTTTCTTGTTTTTGTCAACTCTTAAAAGTGGGACACACCGCTGCGGTTTATTATCCCTTCAGCAGTGGACAGACGATAGGAAAGGTCTGAAGTCCAAACCTGAGCTCTCTCTCAACTCTTTCTGCAGCTCTCTGACTCTCAGACCAGGAGACAGAAGCTGCAGGGAACAAAGAGAGAAGAATAAGAGCAGGATGGCACAACAGGTGCCTCCTCACTGCGTTTCCACAGATCAGTTTGTGGGCTGGAGGCTCAGTGAGCTCACCACCAGCCTCACTGCCTCAGCAGAGCTCATGTGTTTGCTCGTTCTGACACACAAGTGAGACAGCCAGTGCTGCTTGGTTTATGGTCCTGGAAGTGACTTCCAGAGATCCTCAGTGAAGCAGATGTTATTCTGACATTGTTTGGGAATGAATGCGACTCATTTTTTAGTTCTGCAGGGTCATTTATAAAAGGATTTGACTCTGAAACATAACTGACAGACCATGGTTTGCACGGCAGCCAACCTTTTAAGTGGAAAACATGGCTGTATATATATATAGTTAACAGAAGATGGAGGAAAATAGAGATTTCAGTGTTGCACTTCTCTGCTTGTGTCTCTCAGGATTGCTCCTGGAGCAGCTGCGAGCAGAGCTGCTTACACTTTGGATGAATTCTTTAGTAGATGCTTCCATACGTTTTGTTGTCAGTACTCACAAATTGTCGGGTTAAAGCTGTTTTCCTTCAGTTTTTGTGGATTAAAGCACCACTACAAGAGAAATGTTAAAGTGAGGGTCATTAAAAACAACACTGAGCCAGGCTTTAGTGTTTTAATCCAGCAAGCATACACATGCATACATGGCTCCACAGTCCAAGGCCCTAAATATGCATGAGATCTGACACCTCTTTCAAAAGCAGGTTGTAACTACTTAGCGCGGTCTAGAATAAATGCCAGCCACATCTGTGAAAACGTATACACAACCACAGTGAGAGGTGTGAGACTCGTCTGTCTCCCTTCATGTGGTGTCGTTTTATTAATGAACGAACGTCTGGACATGTGAAGGAGGAGGAGCTTACGTGGCCACTTGGAAATGTGTTTTGACAGAGTTTAAAGAGTAGTCATGTGCTCTTTGTGCACAAAAGAAATACGCCTCACAAACACGGACCCCACACATGCTCAAATACGACCGAAATACATGGGTAGTTCAAGCCTGCACTTGCCAGCGTTCGACGTGAAGACAGCATGGAACAGAGGGGGGCATTCTGACAGGTTGTTGTGGGGTAGCCTAGTCAACAGCTATTGAACCCCCCCTCCCCTCCCTCTCCACCTTATCCAGCCTGCCCACCCACTATACTCCCCAGAGAGCAGGCCTTAATGGCCTCGTTTATCCCCTCTCTTTGACGGGAACTAATGTGTAGAGTCCTCTCTCCCCCCCTCCCTCTTTCCATACCACCCCCCCCATAGGAATTCCCCTGTGGAGTGCAGTGTCGCCCCCAACCCCCACCATTCGCCCTAATTTCCATCTCAATATGGAGCGTTCATTGGACTTTGACACCTCATAGACAAGAGTTTTACTTCACTTCCTGGTTTTGGGGTCAGCTGAAAGCCGCTCCCATGGGAGCGATAACAGCACACTCTGGTTGCCTAATGTGAACTCTGACATCCCCGTCATCAACCCTCCTCCCTCCCATGTCAGTGCAGCGCTGATATATATGGAGAATGAAATGAAACTTAATCAAGTGAGATGACAGAACGCAGTTTGACACTGCTATAGATACAAGTGTTTCTAAAGTTAAAGACTGGGGTGTTTGTCATAAATGATTTTGGGATATGATTTACTAAATGAGAGACTTTAAGTTTGTGAAGGGAAGCAAAGCATTTAAAGAGAGAAAAAGGGGGATGGGTAGAAAAAAATGTGGCAGAGGGACAATATAGTCTTCTTGACAGGGTTGGAAAGAGGAGAACAGACAAAGATAACCACACACTGGGAGATGGAGGAAGGAGGGAGTGAAAGAAGGGACGATAGATGGACGGATGGATGAAAAGAGTTGGCATGGAGTGAGAGAGCACCTCGTTGGGGAATTCTGGGTAATCCTCTTAACCATGGAGCCCCCTTCCCAGACTAAGACACTGGCCCAAATTGAGTCTAAATCAGCTGACAAGGCCCCAGACGTGGATATCTGTTCAAACTGGTGTTTTGAAGAGATGGGAGAGGACTTGGAGCTCATGCCAGGGAGGGTCATAATCTGAAGCCAGACATGGACAGGAGGTGGTGGCATCAGTAACTGTTTATGAGCTGATCTGTACAGTTTGTACTGATGTGTCAAAGACATCATTCCAACAGCGCTGTGTTATGGGAGAGTTCGCAATGCAAACGTACAGCCCCTACTGTAATGTTTATCTGTGCTTCCACAAATGCCTCACTGATGCTGATCATTTTTATCCAAACCACTCATTCAGCACCTGTCAAAACTGTCAGTATTTTGTTCTCACACTTTGTGGTTTATTGATTAGTCTTTGGACGCGGTTGCTGATTTTCATTCTCATTCTTGCCGGGTTGGGAGGAGGGTCAGGTGGGTGAAAGTTGGTGCAGATTGTTCTGAAAGGTGGATGAAGGTTGTAGAACACAACACCAACAAAAAAGCTCATCAGTTTCAGTGCCATCTGTCCCCCTTTGCATGCAAATACACATACATGGAATAAATATTTGATCAATGTTGTCCTTGATGTCACTTCAACCAGGTAGCTGTAGTAAGGCTGCAGCACAGGTTAGAAAACATATATTTTGCAATTGCATTCACAATCCTGTTGAGACATGAGATGTTTTTCTTTGCAAAGATAGAATTTTGCAGCGTGTGTGTGTGTGAGATTCATCTTGTGTCATGCCCGTCTTTGTCCTGTTTCATACTTATGGAAAACATTAATCTTAACCAGCTTTTTTCAGGCGAAACCCCAACCTGTAGTTTGGAGGTCTGAGCCAGTTATTACACATCGATTTCTATGGGTAAACATCCTATCACCTTTTGACAGTTCTTGGTAGCATCCACTGAGAATTGGTTAAGCGTGGCATCAATAAATCACTGGTTCTACTTCAGAATTTTGTTACAACATAATTCCCAGCAAGCAAAGGTTATGCTGAGGTCGTGATTCACAATTTCCTGTTGACTGCACCGCCATGTGATCACATGCCTCCATAACTCTGCTAACATCTCAAGCCGCACTTGTAGACGAGAAAAAAAAAATGGGGGAGAAAACAAACATCAAAGAGAGATTTTGCACAAACCTGTATCGAAGCCACGGTGATAGAATGTGATTTTTATCTGCACAGTTTGTTTCTCGTTTTGTCAGTGAGTTGGGGAATGTGTGCGTATATACATGAGCTGAAAGCTGATCTAATGAGCTCTGCAGTGGTGGAGCTCAGCCATGGATCAGTGACGCATCACAGGACCCTTGGCAGCCATGACAGTTTGATCATCTGAGGGATTGTATGGTCTTTATCAATTATTAAAACTAATCACCGTCCAGCAGCTCGCCGTCTGTCTATCATTGTCTGCCTGTGGTTCCTCCGTCGTCCTCCTCTCGCTGTCACTCAAAGTCTTGGTCTGTTTGTATGTGTCTGCATTTGTCTGACTCAGTCTCTGTGTTTTTGTCTCTTTGTCTGTTGGACTTCTTTGCCCTCACGTTTTGGTCTACCTCCTCTTTGTTTTTCTCTCACAATTCTAGGAGCGTACAAAAACTTTTCATTAAAAAAAAAAAAAATTGTAAAATTACTTCATTACTTCAACACAAGGACCTTCATTTGTAAAGTGTTTTAAAGTACTTTTCCAGTACTTTAGCTGTGGTGCTTGTCACTTGCTCCGGGACTTTACTCTGTTCACTGGCTGAGGCAAACTCTACTGCCATGTGCTGCGTGTATCATTGTGTAACCTGAAAAGGTGGATGTTTAGATTGTTTTCCATCACACACCACCATCAGGGAAGCATCTGATCAATCCCAAATTCAGTCTGCAGCACGACAACAAACATGCAGTCCTAAAGTCATGAAGAATAATAAAGATCTATCTTTAGCAACTAGAGGGACAAGGCGTCCTGCGGTAGACGGTACGAACCCCACAGAGCTCTGATCTCACATAGACTCAGTGTGGGATTACATAAAGAGCCAGAGGCAGCGACAAATCGACAGAAAAACTTTGGCAAATTCTCCACGATGCTTAGAGCAATCTACCTGTCAAGTACCTTGAAAAACTGTGGAGAGCAAACATCTTTGCGAGAATATTAATGCCGGAGCAGTTGTGATTTTAACGACATTGTTTCAGAAAAATTGAGTTATGGAATGAAAATCTAATCTATGATTGTCTGTTTGTTTTCAGATTGGAGATCTCAAAGACCACTATCACTTCTTCCATAGTCGGACTATCAAGAGGTCGACTTTGTCCAGCCGTGGTCGCCATAGTTTCATCTCCATGGAGCCCAAGGTAGGACTGTTTGGTGAATTATAGGTTAAAATCAAAGCAGTTTCTTGTGCTTTGATTTTTTTTTTGTGGGCTGGTAATATAATCTTAACCTGTGGTCCATGTTCTAGTGTTTCCTGGATTCTTCATGTTATTCATCATAGTGAAAGTTTGCTCAGTTGTCATGGAGATGACTCAGTTGCAATCACATGACCCGAGTATGATATCATGTGATCAAACTTCCCTTCTGCATGAGGACTGAGTAAACTCCATCTGCTAATGAAGATTGTGAGGTTCTGTTGGAAGCTGTAGAAAATGTCATTGGACCTTGAAATAAGATGTTTTTATCCAACCAGTATGTCTGAGGTTAAAGATTAACCTTCACACTGAGGACAGTTTGCCAAAATTTTCCAGACATTTGAGGTATTTCTGAGCAAAGCTTTTCCTGAACATTTGCTGACTTCTTCACTGTGTGTGTTCATGTTTTAGTCATGTTCAAATTCCAGGAATAGTTGGCCACAAATAGTCATGCATACATCAGGGAAAATATTTAAAAGTGTCTGTCTGTTGATAGTGTTTTATGGGGATGGTAGCTGGTGTACAGGATGTACAGTTTAATACGATCAATGCTGTGCACCACCGACAAGCCTGGACAGTGTGTGGACTCTGCTTTACGCACCAGCTCAGCTGACCCCACTGTCCTGTCCTTGTACAAGATCTGCACACAAATGGGGTATTGCAGGGACACAGTGTTCATGATGACAGGACCTACTACACTGCAGGAAAATCCCGCTTTTCCTCTCATCTCATGCTGTAGTGATGAGATCTGTCCACAGGCAGCTGAATAATGACACATGAGACTTATTCTGCTACTTTTCTAATCCACAAACGCAGCAATTTTAGGTTTGATCGATGGGTTTAGATTGAATTCTATAAAGATAATAATTTTTCTTGAAACAAAAAAAAGGTCAAAAACCTTGTCAGCAGCTTCTAAATGCTGGATTGATTACACCCCGCAATCTAAAGGTGGCGCACAAAGAAACACACTTTTAACTGTCAGTTTGTTTTTTCTAGTTTGCGTTTGCTCCCCATCGCTGGCTATCAGGTGTAATTAAAAACAAAATTTAATATATTATAATGAAGTTTTTCTGTTGTAACCCATCATGTGCAAGGTGCACAAGGCCACTCGATGGACAGAGTGAGCGTCCCCGACAGAAGGACTGACCAGTTAATTGGATCTGTTTAATCAAAATTCATGGAAATGCTGGATTTCTTTTTCTGAGAAAGCAGCTCACACAAGTTTACAGAAAGCCTCGGCTTGTTACCACGGCAGCTAATTCCCTGAAGCTAAACTGCTGTATGTCAGGCTAACTTGATCTTAACCACAGATACCAGCCAGTACTTGAACTTCCAACCAGTGAGCAGAACCACGGAAAATGCTGAAATGACAAAATCTATGTATTATACTATGGCCATAATATATGAAAACGCATGTTTATATAATACGGTTAACATGGTTTCTTCTTCACTAAAGTTGCTACGTTTTAGATACAGACTTGCAAAGCATCTAAGTCAACTGAACAGTTTTTTTTTTTTTCTTGTTTGAGTGAACTGGCCTTGTAAAAAACAAAGGTTGACCGAAAGTAAACCTGTACCCTTGTCCTGTCAGCGCTCTTCCCATCACTCCACCAGTTCATCAACCCCTGGCTGCATTATAAATGAAGCTTTAATCTCACAACACTCTGAGCTTAATCAACATACACGGGCCGAATTGCAAATCAAACTTGCTGGGTATTCAGTAGAAGCACCCGATGTATCCATTTTTCAAAAGACTTTCTTACACTAATGTTTTATTTAGATTTATGTGTAAAGAGTGCTGAAACAGATAGCTTCCAATGGGTTTCAATGACAAGGCAGTTTGTGGAGATGATTCATTCTTGACACGTGAAAAACGTTTGCTCCCTTGCTTCACCTTTTGCATATTTCTGTCATCTTTGGATCTGACTCAAACTTGCTGATGTCAGCCTGTTCGATGAAGCGGGTCGCTTAATCAACCAGCTGAGACTCGAACCAGAGAAAACAAGACAGAGACACTTCTTGGAAATTTAGGGTTTTCGCACAGCTGCAACAGCCCTGCATGCGTGTTTTGGGGAAGTGGATTCAAGTGCATACGTGTACATTTGTTCCAATCTGTGCATGCACATGAATGCGTGCTGACTGCGGAGGAATGGTAATGATCCATCAGGGTGATTTTAGAAAGAAAGGATGAGAACGGGAAGAAAAGACAGCGCCTGTCACCTTCTGTTATTCACTTATCTTGTTTGTCCCCTGGCTCATTGTTTCTTTTCAATTTCCTTTCCTCTCTGTGTATTTATTTTTTTTTGGTCCACTCAGCTTGTTTTGTCCACCTGCCGTCCTTACCTGTCATCCCTTTTCCTTTTCGCCTCCTCGGACTCCCTCTCCTGCCTTCTTCTCTCGCTGTAGCTTTCAGTGTACTCGTCTCCCTCCCTCTGTCTTTGGTTCTCTTGCCCTCTTGGGCCTGACACTGTGCCATGGTAGAGGAAGGTTTGTGTCCTGATGCCAGCTGGCTGAGCGACTGAGAGATTTCAGAAGACTAGATCAGAGAGAAGAGGTTAAATGGGAGAAAGGAGAAAATGAGCTATTACAACGGAAGGAGGGTGAAGGGAAGAGGAGGGGGAAAGATGGATTAGAGAAACCAAATAAAGAAAAAAAAAAAAAAAAAAAAAGTGGAGTGGAGCGAAATGGAGCTGTCAGTGTTGCTATCCTTTCAGCGTAATCTGCGGACCTGTCTGCGGGTTCGGGATCAACATGACGGCCAGTTTGGCAGCGGCGCAGCCTGGCATGCTGCTAATGATGTTTTGCAATCAGGTTTTGTAATAATGGCAGCCGTGTGTGTTTTGTGTGTGAGTGAGTCAGAGGGGTGTAGCGATGCCATGAAAGGCGCACCCTGCCATCCACAGTGCTCACTGGCACGCACGTTTCCATGGTGATGCAGCACAGCACAGATTACCGCTTTATGGCACCCGCCTAACTGCACTGTCACTTGCCTGTCAGGTCAAAGACCAGCTCTTTTTCCAGGCTGACGAAAGGTCATCTGCACGTATGGAATATGCATCGTCACCTCTACGATTCCTGTTGGTGTGTTTGCGGTAAATGTGGCAACTGCGGCTCTGTAGGTTTGCGGTAATTTGTGCAGCACGATCCACCTACGTTAAGGATATTTGGGGAAACAGGGAGAAACGTGCAACACAGGCCTACAACTGATGATTATTTTTGTTTATTCTGTTGCTTTTGTTCTTGATTAATTGATTAGTTGTCTGGTCTACAAAATGTCAAAACAATCCCAAAGCCCAAGATGATGATCTCAAATGTCAAATGTCTTGTTTCATCATTAAAGCAAAAGAATTCAAGTTTAAAAAAAAAAAAAGAAAGAAGAAAAGTTTACATTTTAGAAGCTGAAATCAGAATGTTTGGACTTTTTTTTCTAAAAAAAAAAAAAAAATTAGTCACACAAACCTAGTAATTATCAAACTAATTAGAAATTATAATTGACACCTAATCGATAAATGGCTACAGCTCTAGTGCAAAGCTGGGTATATTTGAGCAAGTCTCAATCAGCAATTCAAATAAACGAGACATTTACATGCTTCACATCTTCTCAAACGCTTCTCTCTGAGTCTGACGCCGTTTGTTTACATGCATGACAATGTAGATGGCTGTTGATTCAGCCTGCACCACCGTGTTTTCAGGTGCTAATGCTTTCCCTTGTTGATGGAGGCTTCAGGTGTGACTAACTGCACTGCAAAGAAGCAACGATATTTTGATATTTTTGTATTACTTGGGGCTAGTTATGTGTTATCGCTTCCTGTCAGCTTCCATCGTAATTCCGGAGCATGCTAGGTTGAAGAAGACGATGTCCATTCCCCGGTTTGTTGCCGGTGAAACACACATCACACGCCGTTTTAAGTTTTGTAGCTGCTTTATCTTACCACATGTAGAGCTCGGAGTTTGTTGTGACTTCAAACGGGTGTTGACCAGTGCCACAAATGCATTTGTTGTAGTTGTAATCTCTTATTAGTGGACCCAGCTGTTTTGCGAGTCAGACATCAACTGGTCCCATGATCAGCAGCAGAAGGTTGCTTTCTCGGTTGGTTGTGGAGAGCGGTGTCCACAGGAACGCCGCCGGTTTCCTGAGCTACATTGTCTTGCAGGGTGGTCCATTTGCGTCCATCCTTTCTGACTCCTCTTCTATCTGAATTACCTGCCTGTCTGTTCTACTACAGCTCAAATAAATACAGACAGCCAGAAAAGTAAAATGAGTGCGTTCATCTTCGCAATAGTAACACCATTTAGACTTTCTGGTGTCCTAAGCAGACAGTTGAGCTACAATCAAACTTAGCCTCACACATGTTAAAAAAAAGGGTGATGTGGATGGATATGTCGGCTGATTAAGTCAGACAGCAAGTTGTCCCAGATGTAGATCCCTAATGCAGTTAGCCATAATGACTTTTCCAGGCAGATACTTTGTGTTTACTTTCGACTCGGAGACAAGCGTACGTAACGGCCCATAAAAATCGGGCTTATTTGGAAAGCTGTAGGGGGCTCTCTGGGCTGAGTGCAAAATTAGCATGACCCACAGTCACTATAGTCACTTTTATAGGATATACGTCAAACAAAACCAAACAAAATTATCCTGTAAAGGTCGAGTCAGTGTGGAGGATTTAGTGACATCTAGCGGTGATGTTGCAGATTTCCTCTCACCTCATCCTCCACTGCCAAGTTTGTAGATGAGCTTTTGGTTGTCACTAAAACTTTGAAAATGGCAAAAGGCCCCTTTTAGAGACAGTTTTGGGTTCGTCCATTCTTATGCTTCTGCAGGGCAACGTGGAAGAGGTCCTGCTAGTTCTGTAGATGTAATATAAACATAGTTGTTACTCTCAGGTGGCTATACACTCATAAAAACATGATTATGAATATTCAATTTTGTTTATGCTAATAGGTCC